TAATCTTCCTTTGCTTTCTTTCTTTCTTAAGATCTCCTTACACTTTTGATCTCTATATATATGCAATAGAAACTTCTTATCTTTTTCCTATTACAAGTTAATCTAGGAACCTTTATCTTTATCCTAAATCTATTAGTTATTCACCTTATCTTTAGAATAACTTGTTTCCTAAGTTATCTCTTGAAGCTTATCCAACACGAATTCCCTGTGATATCAGCGGTGGGAAACGATGGTACGCTTTTCAAATCCGGTTTAATGGTGGTCGAACCATCAAACGTGACGTTCAAGTTACTTATGGACCATGCCGACGAGGTTGTGCCTTACAATGGTGGAGATCAAGGTTACCTCAATGAGATATTCATATTTTGGCATCATGTTCCGAAGCACATGAACTTCTTGAAACAATTTCAGGAAGGTGACAAGCCTAAGATCAATAGGTTCAAGACAAAGCTGTTTGCTTCTGATCCCTCTGCATCTGTACGTAGTTTATTACTCGGGTTATAAGAAGCCATGGTTATGCTTTAGGGACTATGACTGCAACTGGAACGTTGAACATTATCAGCAGTTTGCGAGCGCTTAAGCGCACAAGACTTGGTGGAGAGTGCACCACTCGATGCCTAAGAGTTTGCAGAGGTTTTGTTTATTGAGGTCAGCGCAGAAGGCGAAGCTTGAGTGAGATAGGAGACAAGCGGAGAAAGGGAAGTACATAGATGGACATTAAAAGATTACGATTGAAGATAAGAGGCTTGAGACTTGCTTTGAAACATTTTTGTAACGATCTAAGTTCTGAGGCCCAGCAAGATTCAGGCCCATCGCAAGAAACCCTAGGCGAGAACCTGTTTAAGCACTTATGACTCATTATTTTATTCAGAAAAAATATCTAAACACTAGTTTTATAGAGACTGAGCCCAAGCAGATCAGAATCTGTACAACCAGTGTTATCACCGACTGAGACTGGATCCACCACCCCGTTACCGTTGACCATCGCAGGTAAACCGTTCACCGCCGGCTAATTAAGTTTCATCTCGGCCATTTAGTAAATCAATGATATCTCGTTAACTGTTTGTCGTTTAAGAAAACCTAAGGCCACCACCATGTTCGTGACGTCGAGACGAGTCCGGAGCACCAAGATCAGCCGGAGACGACCACAGAAACGCCGTCACGCGCAGCTTCTCTTCTTCGCTGTTCCGCGCGTATTCGTCACACGCCGCCGTGCCTCGCCGCACGTGCCGTGCGTGGATTCCACGCGCCACCATCACTCTTCGCAAACCGACCCTGTCTGTGATTCCGGTAAGCCGCCGACCTCCGCCTCGCCGCTGGTGACCGGTCGCCGGCAACTTGGCAACTTGGCCGAGTTGACTCGGCGAGTCAACGCTGTGACTCGGTCAACCAGTTTGGCTAAATTGATTTCGGTTTGTTTAGTTGAATCGCGGTTTAAATTAATTGTATCTGGTTAAGCGTAAACCGGTCGGTTAAATTGAATTGATTTTGGTTTGAGATTAAACTGGATTGAAATTGATTTAGTTCTGGCCTAACTAAAATCAAATCCGGTAAAGGGAAAACCGGCGGTTTAATTTGATTTTAATTTGGTCAAGGGCTGACCGGCTTGGGTCAGAGTTGACCGGGTTGACCTTTGACCAACGAGTTGAATTTTTGACCAATTCACCGGTTATCCATTTTTAACCGTTCGAAAGGCGTTCTGACTCGATTTTTCGTCCTGGTTTCAGATTTGGAGTCTATTTGAGCAGCAGAAGTTCATAGATACCATTTATCCACTTTTCTAAGGTGAGGGTATTTTATGTAAATCATGTACCAGTGTAGAATTCTTTCTATCGTAGTTTAGATTTTAAAGCAAGATTCGTCTGGTTGAATTGAGTCTGTCTGAGTCTTGCTTGGTAGTTAGTTCATTCATTGTAACCGCAGCGGGGGGTCTAGAGGATTCAACTATGGATTGGATTGTTTGACGCTAAGTGATGCTATATACATATATGTACGTATACATACTTATGAGTATGGAATATGTGTGGGACGTGAGTTCAGAGATGTCCGGACTTCGACGCTACGATGTGGGACGTGATTTCAGAGATGTTTGAGCTTCGACGCTACTGTTTGGGGTGTGGTGCAGAGACGTTTGCATTTGGCGCTACGGTTGGGCGAGGGTACAAAGACAGACTGTACTAGCGACACTTCGTGTATATATATCCTTATGAGGAGTATGCGGGTGTATGGATTAGCTGTATGCTATCATCGCATGGTTGTTTTGTGGGGCGCTCTAGGCGTCGTGTTTGTTCATGTTAGAGCTAAACTTCCATAGTGGGAGTTCTATTTGACTTGAGTTTGTGGCTTGCGTGTCTAGCATCCCATACCTTAATGAGTGACTCCCCTATTAATCACCCATCTTTCTTTGTACCTTTCAGGTGAGACTGACTATTGGGAGTGATCATTTTGGATTGATACTTTTAGAAGTTTTATTTCTTTTTTTTCAGACTTATGATGCTTTTATCAATATTTTCTGGATTTCTTATGATATTTGGATATATGTTTATTTATTGAATTTATGCAGATTAATAAATAGAGATTTTAGACAGTTTATTTATTTTATTATTGTGAAAAATGCGGATGTTACAATTTTGTAACCGGGAGATTATGCATCTCCATTGGGGTGAGACCAACACCACCGAAAACTCGTCCATCACCACTTCATTGCCTCAGTCGCCGTACAACTTATACAAGAATTAAAATATACTTATAAAATAATCTCTAAGTTCGTAGTCTTTATATTTGTATGGAAAGTCATGTCTTTTGTGTTACTACTATACTAGGTGGCTTCCTGCACCATGTGCAGAAATAAAAGTTTTAAAAATAAATTTAAATTTAAAAATAAAATTTAATTAATTTCTAAAATGTATTATTTTATTACATTATTAATTTTACATTAATTATATGTAAAAATTAAGAGAAAATAAACAGTTTTATTTAAATATATGACAGTTCTCTCAAATAGAAACTTTTTAGGTTTTTTTTCACAAAAATAGATCTTAAAACTAAAATGAGTAAAACATCATTTTTTAATTTGAAAATTTTGATTTTTTTTTTAAAAATTTTTAATCCTATCCCAAAAACTCCACTCCTCAACTTTAAACAAAAAAGTTTACGATTAGTTAACCCAAATGATATAAGTGTATATTTACTTATTTTTGATAAAACATTTAAGTCTATCTTGGTCATTTTTATTTTAAGGTCTATATTTGTGATTAAAACTTTTTTTTAGGTCTATCTTAAAAAAAATTCTTAAATTTATATTTAATAATATATATATCTTTTATCTTTTGGTTAAATTATATTAAATCAGATTCTATACTATTAAGAGAAAATTTTGTTAGATATATAATTATCAAAATATAAAATTAAATAATATTCTAAAATTTATAGATGTTATAAATAAAGCTAATGGTATTGGGATTAGAAAATTTTAATTTAAAAAAATACTGCATAAAATTTTGAAAAACAAAATTTATTAATAAAAAATATATAATTAAAAAAATACGCTTAAAATATTTCAATATTTGTAATATTATTATATTTATATTTATACTATTATATTATTTATTATCTTAATGATAATTTATGAGCTCTTTTTCTTATCACTATTTTAATACAAATTTTTGTTTAATCAAACATAAAAAGTAATAGAAAAATATTTTTGTTTATTTTAAATTATATTTAAGAATATGCATGTATATATTTAAAATTATAATCTTAGATATTTTTTTATCTATTTATTTTAAGTAAATATATTAAATAAATTTGCAGAAAATTTTATAATTATCAAAAATTAAAATTAGACAATATTTATTAATCTTTTAAATATATAAGAAATTAATAATTTTAGGATTAAAGTTTAATAATTTTCAAAAAATGTATACATTTTTGAAATTTTTGTAATAAAATTTTATAGTTTTAAAATATATAATTAAATGATATTTTCGAAATTTTTAATGTCATATTGGTATATATTTATTTTAATGATGATTTATTAGTTATTACCATATTTTATAAATATTTCCAAAAATATAAATCGACATTAAATGTAATATATGAGTTGTTACCATTTTTTTTTTTTTTTTTGAAACATGTTACCATATTCTATAAAGTTTTCCAAAAATATTTATTAACATAAAATGCAATTGTCCATGTCATATTTAATCATATGTCATGTCATCAATTCTAGTAGACATGTCATCATTTATTTGTGAAACTGATTCTAGAGAGGACATGTGGCAAAATCACTTCACAAATAATGTATAGGGGATGATCCTGGTTTTATAAGTTGTCTTGTGTAGTTTTGTATAAAAAAAAACTATGTTCATAAAATTTAGAATAGTACTTTTCGGGTATAAGGAATGTATATAGATACTCCCTCTATTTCGAAAAAGTCATTTAGACACACTTTATTCAGATTAAGAAAACTCTATTATAGACTAATCTATCATTATTATGTATGATTCATTAAATAAAATGATTTAATAAAAATTTATTGGTTGTTTCAAAAGAGAGAAAAATAAAATTTAATGTATAAAATTGCATTGAAAATGTACAGAAATATTTTAAAGAAGAAATAAAGATAAAATAACATTTTTAAGAAACAGATGGAATATTTAATAGATTATTAAATTTAAAAAGTTGTTTTAGACACAAACGGGTGATTATTCTATTCAAGTTCCTACATTCAGGGTTGGTCTAGACCCTTGAGGCTTAGCATCTTCCATCACTTGTTTAGTTCTTTTGTTAGAAATGTAAAATATAACATTTTAGTTATAAGAAAGGTAAAATGTTAAAATGTTCTAAAAGATGTAATATCTTTGAAACAATTGTTGCTAACTTTTCTCAAAGAAAAAAAAATTGATGCTAACAGAAAAATAAACCAATATCAGGGGAAAGACCAATATCTTAAACCAATAGATATTTGAACACGTTAAATATTTAAACTTTAAAATTAGCTTAAACCAATAGTTGACCAAATATTTTTCATTGTACAGGTAACCCGTTCTTCAAATCGACTCCAGCTACCAAATATTTTTGGACCCCAAAATTCCACCCATCACAAAGTTCACAGCTAGGTAACATTTTTTATCTTTACCGGTTGAAGCAATATTTACATGTGTGCTCAACTAAGCAATCTTACCATCTGCTTCCAGTTTAAGAGGTGAACTAGGCCAAGAGTTCCCCTTTTCCTATACCAAACCAGAAATCAAGAAAAAAGAACTTGCCTCACTTTTACTGTTTCTTGAATCAGTGACCACCACATCAACACCGAAGTATTACAGTATAATTTCTCCTGAACATTATCATAAAAATCATTTTATACAAACACAAGTTCAACTGTTTTCCAGACTTCCAACACCGATGAAGCTCCTTTTGGTGAAAGGGAGCACAACACTTTATGTGGGTCTCCTCTTTTTCTCACATTTCAGACTGCGCTTCTATCTTATCACCTACAACAA